GTCATCTTGAAATTCATCGTAAGATCTTGTTTAAATACAAAATAATCGATTATCTTTCATTTCTTTCATAATCTGGCTACTTGTTTGACATCAGAAACTTAGATTCGGTGTGAGATAAAAATGAGAAGCTTGCATTCGCGCATACTTTTTACCTTTCTATCTTTCCCTCTGAGACTACATAAGCAAATGGCATCTAACATAAATAGCCCAGAAATAGTCTCTACATAGAGTCGCAAAGGTAGTTCATAGAACATTTTGTACGTTCTCATAGGAAGTTCTCCTGAAATCAAAAAATCTATACACCAACTTTACCTTCCTTTGAGCCATTCTCTCGAAGCAAGAAGTATGAGAGGCCTATTGGAAAGCAAAAACAGACTGGTCTCTGCACAAACGCTGCATCATTCTTGTTACCTCTCTTTCTCGTAAAGTTTTCGGGTGTCAGGAGAAAGATAAATGCTCAAGCAAAGTACGTATATGCAAGGCATTTTTGCATATATGCATACAATGTTGCGCAGAACGCATATTTCTGTTTTGAAGGGGAAGTTTCGTAGAAACTTTATTCTAACTTTGAGAAAATTTACCTAGATTCCTTCACAAAAGCTCGTAATTCAAGCACAAAATCTGAGCTTGCTAAAGATGGTAAATAATTTTAGACAAAGATTATCAGGTATATCATAACTAGCGGTTGGGAATATAGGTTGCACAATATCATGGATTACATGATATGGTAAGAAATGACTTAATATTCATTCTTCGTATCGGATAGGTATATGACGCGCAGGCTCAAAAAATTTTCAAGACTTACCTTTTTCCAGTGATTTCGCAGCCTCAAATTTGACCACCTAGCCACTGGAGTCCCCTTCATTAATTTTTAATTATCGTAAATTAAAAGTAGCCTTCTTTGTGCTAATCCCACATGACTGCTGGTCTCAAAAACGGCTAGACTAACTTTTTATCGAAATGGCAATCTCATGTTAAGAAAAGATGCTTATTAATCTTTCGTAACTCTCATGACATACTATTAAGCTTGGGAAGCTTAATAGTACGTCTTGAAAGCTACGAAAGATTTAGGATGAAAAAGTGAATGAAACTTTGCTTGTGGCCTCCCTACCAGGCCTCGGCACGAGGTCTCCTATTGGACCTTACGAGAACGAATCTCCGCTTAACCAGGAAAACACGAAGTCCCCTTTGTCACCTGTACAGACACGCGCAATCAGGACGAGCATTGCAGTGCGGTATACTTGGAGCGCGTTTTCTTCATTAAGGTAATACGATTTAGGGCCCTATCAAGGAAGGGAGGAAGTGCTTTGATCTGGTTATTGCGCTGTAAGTTAGGTTAAGGGATGCACAAAAAGTGTTTGCTATAAGCGACTCAAAATTATGAGAAACAAAAAAGTGTTTGCTAGTCGGAGACCTGAGGTCTTCCGTAGGTCTCCGCCGGAGACCTAAATCACAAAAAGGTGCGACGATTTCTCCATTCTCATAATATTTCGAAGATTTTTCAAACACTTCTTCTACTTTTTGTTGTGCATCTTTATGCCAATTTTGGTGGCTGTTCATGGCTTATTCGCATAGAAAAACGAGTTTATCTATATTTCCAACTCTTTTAAATTTCCCGCACAAACGCCCGCATTTAAACGAACATAACTTTGCTGGAGCAGGCTTCTGAAAGGTCTTTAATTGTGTGTGGAATTGAGTATTGAATCAGACAGAAAAAGTTAAGCCGCATGCATAAACATCCACGGGAGGAAGGATGGGGGAAGAAGGTAGCTTCAACATTCTTGTTGTGGAAAAAGCGGTCTTAATTGAGATTAAACTCCGCT